TTGTGTGAATCAAGTCTTCTGTGGTTTCTGAAATATCTGAAAAATTAGAAAGAGAGAACGAGAGAGAGACCCATCCCCAGTAACACGCACCCTTCTTCTAAAGTTGTTTTTTGCAATGTTTATTCAATGCTTTCATCTGTCACAATATTGTAATGTCTCTGAATTATTTTAATTTGGAACCATTTCTCGACAAGTTAATTCAATAACTGTCATATGACAAAGAATTAAATTATATTTTTAAGTTCTAATAAAACCTATTTCATCCAAAACTGAAGATTGATTTAGCACAGCAATACATTCATATACTGTTATAATTTAATGTTAAACACAGTCTAATCTAGTTAACTAAAATAAATCAAAAAGATAGTTCACACACCTTCATGTAGAGCTTTTGTCTTTCAATATGATGGTTTCCAAGACACCCAGGTGCACACAACTTGACGGGTGGAAAATCCAGCTTAACATATTTAGGGGAGTCTACAGACAAACACAATCTCCTGCCATAAAGTAAACACATCACATGACAGAAAATCCACCTTACAATGTTCACTGCCTGGTCTCCTTCAACATCGCAGATGTAGAATAGTCGTAGAGTTAAAAAATCTATTAAATTATTAAGAGTTTAGAGGCAGCAGTGGTGGCCCACCCCCTATCAGAACAGACAACAACACATCACTCAATGACTAAATGTGCAGAAATGACAGCTACAGCACACACACACACACACACACACACACACACACACACACACACAGAGTTAGAGCCTGAATCCCACGACACACTCACATAGCCACCGCAATGCATAACAACAGCACTGAGAGACAACTTACAGCTCACCTGAGGACTCATTAAGACACAATTTAACTGTGTTTCAGAGAACGTAACATTAATGATAATCAACTGTACTGTGTTGTGTAACATATGCTGTGTGTTTATGTGTGAGGACCTCTCATGAGAAAAAGTGGTGGTTGCTTTAGAAGGGCACATAAACAAAGACTGGGAAGTGACATAAATTGGAGTACATAAAGCTCACAATATGCCAACAACATCACAGCAAAATCTTTGAATACTTTAGCATTTTTTATCTCTAATGCATCACATTTAAATCAATTTAAGCAAATATAAAATCACAACACAACAAGGCCTTAAGTGCCTTATTGTTTAAATAAAATTATTACTAAAATTAAAACAAAATTATTTCTAAATTATTAGAAAAATATTTAAGACAACTTTTCATCCCAACGTTAACATCCTGTCTACTATGATGCAGCATGTGTCTTTGACTGCATCCCACAAGCCTATGTGTGGGATTCAATTGTTCTATGAATTCTCTGAAGTTGAAACAAGTTTTTAAAAAATTATTAATGTGATTCTTTTAATTTTTAACTTGACTATTTTATTTTCATGTGATGGTTGATAATATATATATATCTATACTGTTGTGTTTAACAAAAAAGCTTATTAAAATATACTACTTTTACCTGGTACTGTTACACAGCTCTCTTCAAACTGTATTTTGCTTTAAAGAATCTTTGACATAATCAATCACCAAATGTTTCAATTAATGTTAAAGTGGGTGGATCCAATTAAATGTCCAATACTGGCAGATAAATATCTAATAATGGTTGATACCGATAAGGACACAATACTGTATGTCACTGGCTAACCTCCCACGTGAAAGCTTTGGCTTTACACTAACTAGAGAAGACAGTGTGTAAGGTCCATTCACCTCCAGATAATCCAGTCTGTTAATCCATTTACCTGCTTTAAAAAGAGCCCCAGGCTTGTGCACTCTCTTTCTTGTACTCATGGTTCAAAACATGCACTTTTTCTTATCTCCACCAATATGGCTTTTATTGTCTATGGTCTTGTCCTGTGTGTATGCCCTTGCCCTCAAATGATCTTCATACAGTTTTGAGTGCTGTTGCTGCAGACCAAAACAAAACCTCACAAAGTGCAACGTTAAATTTATTTAACGTAAAATGTGGTTCTACTACAATACTGAAGCATCTAAAATGTAAATAAAATGTAAATACATATGAACAACTTTACCAATCCTAATTTAATCTACAGTATGAACATTTAATTAATGGAATTAATCAGCTGATTCTTTAGTTTTTTACGATTAATTACATTGTTTTCAGTCTCATTTATTAAATGCAGTCGGCTCATTTACTAAATTTGAAATTAAACCATTTCATTCCGTTTTGTGTGATATCTGGTGCCAGCCCATTTCAACATTTTAAAAAAGACTACACCTCACAAAATCATTAAAGGAATTAAATTCTTGTGATTTTTTAACCATTACTTTGCAATATTTGTTTTGTTTGACGTGGGACACAGCAGGTTTCTGCCGAAAATATTTAAATACATAATAATTCTTACATTTTAGATACTTCCAGTGTGTCCATATTGTTTTTGTAACTAATTAAATGTTAATGTTACCTCTAAATAGTACATACAAAAAAAAAAAACTATGTACTGTATCAATAATAAGACCAGGCTGCATAGTGGGAACACGAGGTACTGCTGAAAATTACACTGTAACCAATGACAAAATGAAAAATGCCATCCTTTTTGGGCACATTTTCATATACTTGTTACTAGATACTGATTGCTGGGCGTCATATGTTTTCATGGTTTATCACTGCTGTCACTTATCTACTCATGCACATCCTTACAATAAATTTTTTAAAAGTTGTATTCCAACTGGATTGGACTATACTGAAGTACTGAAGAACACACAAAAAAATTATTGAATTATGTAGTGAATCAATGCCATCAGGGGGAAAAAAACTTAAGACAAACAAAGTTAATGGTGAACCAATATTCTGTTAACCATATTCATAACATTATTCTTAGTGGTTTGGTGCAGGAAGAGGCAAAAAGGCAGTATAAAATCTAGAACCACAAGGTGGTTGGTGTTAATGATCAAGAGTAAATCTAGTTTTCACTTTGAATATTTGTTCAGTGCACATGCAAATAAAGTTCAAAACACACACAAACGCGCACACACAGACACACGCGCACACACACACACACACACACACACACACACACACACACACACACACACACACACACACACACGCACACGCACACACACACACACACAGGTGTTTTACATGAACAGGCAAATAACCAATGTCCTGTCCTCTACTGCAACTTGATAACACAAAACTAAGTATGGATTAATGATTGAAGGGATGCAAATTTCAACTTTTATCATCACTAATTCATTACAATGGAATTTGACTTCTTGGATTTGCTTTTATCAGACATGTCCCCTGCACTTCACCACTCAATCCTGGAATGACGTACACTTACACTTACACACTTACAGTTCAAAAATCTTTTTGCCACTGTCGCCTTTGGCTTACTAAGTTGGGGACGCTTAACTGATTGCACAGACACTATTGGAAGAGAGCTGAACTGGATGATGACATGAATTATCAATGAACTGACTTTAGCTGGAAAAATCAGTATTGTATAAAGTGCTATACAAATAAAGGTTGACTTGGCTTGACTAACTAGCCGAAGACACTGTCCAGTTTTAAATTCCAGTTGCGCAGGTGGGGCCGGGTGTGTTCAGTTCTGTGTTTTCTTGAATGTTTGAATTTTTCTTCATATATCTGCCCACTTTTAAACTATGCGGTATAGTTGTTTTTCAGTGTGTTTGTCAAACTCCAAAATTAGCATATTTTTAATTATCAAATAAATTAAAAGTTTTTACTTTGAAATAATTTTACTTTAACAAAACATTTGAGTGTGTTATATATATACAGTGGTGTGAAAAAGTGTTGGCCCCCTTCCTGATAACTTACATTCATTAAATCTATTGTGATGGCACATAAATAGCATTCATACTTACCAAGCAAACTGGAAAAAGTGATGATTCTTACTTTCCTGGGTGAATTTTCGGATCAACATTTAACCATTTTGACATGCATGGTATAGTTCACTTTGACATCAGGGAAAGAGACAGCAGAAAGACTCAGCATAGCTCAGATGCCTTACTAAAAAAAAACTAGAAAAACCTGACACCCAATTGAAGGTTGCGGAAATACAGTACTTGAGTTAAAGTGCCCCTGTTATATCATTTTGAATATTGATAGTGTCTGTGCAATCAGTCAAGCATCCCCAACTGAGGAACTGGAAGAGAGCTGAACTGGATCATCAATGAAGAGACTTCAGCTGGAAAAATGACTCTGTCATTGTGTTCTTGCATTATTGACAAACTATTATCCTGTTTGACACTGTAAAGCTGCTTTGACACAACCAGTATTGTATGAAGCGCTATACAAATAAAGGTGACTTGGCTTGACTTGACATTCCTGTGGGCCCCATTCTCACTCCCCAATTAACAACATTTCCAACAACTTTTTGCTTTTTGCACCTAAAAACCAAGTTTTTAGGTGCAACTAAATGTTTCCAATTAAAAATGTTTTACACCTAAACAAATGATGTACATTTGGGATGATAACTCTAGTCATATCAGTGCTAAAAAAAACTGTTTCATCGTGCTACAACGTCTACTACTACTTGGATATTTGAACCATTCTAACCAGCCCTCTCATGCACCTCTACAGGTGTAGTTACTGAAAAATGCATAGTAAATGTTTTTGACTGAATTAAATATTCTAGTATACACAGCAACAATGATCTAAACACATGAGTCATCTAACCGCAAACAAATTTTAATCTGAAAGACGTTTGTGATAACCTATAGATAGTTGCCTTCTGTACTGCTGTAATACAGAACAATAATGATTATCTACATTTACATTTAGTCATTTAGCAGATGCTTTTATCCAAAGCGACTTACAAATGAGGACAATGGAAGCAATCAAAATCAACAAGAGAGCAATGATATGCAAGTGCTATAACAAGTCTCAGTTAGCTTAACGCAGTACATGTACTGTAGCAAGGGTTTTTGTTTTGTGTGTTTTTTTATTATTATTATATACACAATTTCTGTACAGATGAGAGTTGAGTCTTACCTTCACCCATTGGGACGTCATGGGCCGTGCTATGGGATTTCTCTGGCATGGCACTGAGGCCTCACTCCTGTAAATTAGTAAAATATGAAATGAACATTTCTGATCTCCATTACACTAAATGCTGTTATTCATCAATATGTTTTTGACTTTACATGGGTTACATACATTTTGGTATTTTTTCACCGATTAATATTTTGTGTTAACTAATCTTTTGAAAGCCTGTTTAATACAGTCACACTAATTGGGATCCTCACTGTTTTTGTCTCTGACAAATAATGCCCTGATTCAATCACCAGATGCATAGCTTTGATTCGGATTCTATTAGTGACTTTGTCTGTCATTATTCAATTAATTCAAGACAATTAAATAGAATTAAAGAAAAATGCTCCACACTGTGGTACCACCACACCAATGAGCCTAAGAAGGCTGCTCGGAAAATGAAGTACAGGAGGAGTACAAACTTAGAGGTTATTCAAGGGGCATGGAAGGAAAGGAATAGTGTCTCTAGCTACAGATGGGCTCTGAAAGCTGCAATAATCATATTTAGGCGCTCTCACAGAAAATAACCAAAACAATCCTAGGATCCTATTCAGTACAGGTTGACAAAACAAAGCTATGACAAAACCTCAGATGATAAAAACCCCTGAACCAACATACAAAACTACCACATTTTGCTATAAGTTTATATGTTTGCAACATATAATCACTGCTGTTAATAGTTCACTGTTTGTTTGAATACATGTCATTAACTAACTGCATGATTTTTACTGTACATTTCCGCCATATGGACATCACCTTGACATTAGCAACTCCTAAATATAATGTAGAAACTTTAATTTTCTGTGAAGCTGCTTTGCAATTTGTATTATGAAAAGCGCTATACAAATAAATGTGAATCGAATTGAACCTCATATTTCACCACAGCATTGAAGTAATGATTTTATCAATTTCTTCAATCATAAAATTGAGGCCATCAGAAAGAAAATAAGAACTACGCATCTTCACACTATATCTCCTCTGAAGATGTCCTCTCACTACGAGCAATTAAAAATGTCCAATGTCATATAACAGAAATAACTAACAACATTTATCCAATCCTCAAAGCAATGTGTTTGATCTTTTACCCAATAAACTACTGAAAGTTCTACTTCCTGTAATCTTAGAACCTCTTCTCCTTATTATCAACTCTTTGCTTTCCTTAGAGCAAGTCACTAACGTTTCAAGTTGGCAGTAATAAATATGCCAATCTCAAATATGCCATTTAGATCAAAAATATATATTAAAAAAAATTGTCTTCACAACTATATTCATATCTGCAGAGAAATTATATTTATGAAGAATTTTAGACAGAATTTAGTCCCCATATCATCTGATCATGGCTGCATTGCCCTGCATTGTGGGCAGGCATTAGCATGGTTTATATCCTTGCTATCAGTTTATTTGTGTAAAGGAAGAGATGTCAGATAAAACAGGTATGGTAAGTTAGGTATGGAGTGCCACAGATATCAGCATTAGGCCCCCTGCTTTTTTATTGTGCAGTAAATGTTCCTGGGGAACATTATCAGTTTTCACCCAGACCAAATGAAGTTTCTCAAGCTTCTCAAAGTTAGCAGATTGCATTGGTAGAGTCAAAGATTAAATGACTAGTAATTTCCCCCACCTGAATTCTGACAAACTGGAGGTTTTAATAATAGGACCAAATGCCTCTAAAAGAAAAGATGCTTGAGTCACTTGAGTCAACGGTTGTACCATTGTGTCATCCTTTAGTTTAAAACCTGAGTGTTATGCTTTATAGAGACCAGTATTTTGATAGTCACATTGCCAATGTTTGTAGAACAGCTTTCTTTCACCTCAGTAACTTTGATAAACTACGACGCATGCCGTTTATGATGCCAGACAATTAGTTTACCTGTTAATTCAGTATGTAAACATTAGCCCAATATTATCATCTCTACACTGGTTACCCGTTTCGTATCAGTTTTGAAATGTTTCAATTACTTTTTAAAAATGTTTTAATTACTAGCCTTGAACGGCCTAGCTCCACAGTACGTATTCAGTCTTTATAATGCTTTAATCCAGCACAGCCACTGCATTCGCAAAATTCTGGTTTGTTGACAGTACCCAAAAATTCAAAAGCCACAAAGGAGGTAGATCCTTTTCTACCTGGTTCCTAAACTCTGGAATAGTTTTCCTGGGACTGTGCAAGACTTAAGACACTACATTCACATAAATGTTTTTCTTACTGTGTGATTTGTATAGGCTCTTTTTTAGTTGTTTCATAGCAATATGCAAGAATTAACTGCACCAACAGCAAGGACAGCTAATTAGGCCTATGATGGAAATATGGAAATAAATCCACTTCCTCTGGTTCAGGACAGGCCATAAAACAAAGGGAACATGAGGATCCCACACCCAGTCACCATTTCCTTAGAAACAAATTATTCTGCCAACCTATACAGTATACGCAGTCATTTATACGGTTGTGTATGTGTGGTCTATTATTTGACCAGTGCAGCACTGGTCAGCAGTCAGCACATGTGTGTGTGTGTGTGTGTGAGTGTGTGTGTATATACATATATATATATATATATATATATAAAAACAAATTCAGCATTCAAGTCTGCTCTTTCTGTGAAGATATCTTCAAGCATTTTCTCTCCCTCTGGTTTTGTGATTTTGTACATGCACTTGTAACAGCTGGGATGCTTTTGTGTGTCCATTAATGATTTTCCTTCTATTATCTGACACTGAGAGTAAAAAGCTTGCTTAGATCAGCACAAAGCTGTGATCTGACCTCTACATGTTGAAACCATTGCCCCACACCAATACTACAGTATTGCCTAATGTCTAACATAAAAGTAGTAAAGAATTTACATCATCATCTTCAATGTCATACAACAATTCATAGAATTCTTAGAATAATTCGTGCTTATCTTCATTTCTTTTTTTTTATTGTTTATTTATTGTAGAACAAAGCCAACATACAAGGCCAACAATAACTATATACAAACCACGGTTTGCATTAAAAAATGTTTTTATAACAATAATAAATAAACAAATAAATACAATTTAAACAAACCACATCTATACACACCTGGAATAACAACTGCTCTTATTTATCATTCACTGTATTTGGTCTATTGAGTTATTATATAAGAAAGTTTATCAATAAGTTCTGACCATGCCTTAATTGTTCTTGGTTTGACTTTATTCATCCTTGCTGTTGAACTTTCTAACAGTGCAATATTTTTTAGTTCTAAGAGCCACATGTTGTCAGCCAGGAATGTGGGTTCATACCAAATTTTAAAGATTATCTTATTGGCTGCAGTTATTGCGGTGTGAAATATTCTACCCTGATAAGCATTCAAATTGAGATCAGAATAATCATTCAGCAAACAAATATTGGGATGTTTAGAAATAACCATATATCACATAATTCTGTAACAGGATCAAAAATGTTTTTAACATAACAAGCTCTATAACATACAACAATTTTGCTTCATGTACTAAATGTACAGTAGCAAAAACAGCCTGTTTAATTGTAAGGGGTTACACAGAGAGAAATGATCAATAAAAATCAGAGTGTTATTTCAGACTAGACAAGTAGATTGTATTTCACAGACATCATTTCCCATTTTCTTATCCAATTTAAAGACAACAAAATCAGTAATAAGTCAAGTTATGGACTGCTTAGAAAGTCCACTGTAAAAGCAGTGTGAGATGTTTTTCAGATCCTTTTTAATTCCTTCAATTATATACAAAGTCTTATAATTATATGACATTATTTCCACAGGTGTGATGTACGCATTCAGAGCAACAAATGTATATTAAGTATATGCTGCTTTAAACACATCTTTGGCAAGTGTATTTGATATGTAAAATGTTTTATTTTGTGCCTTGCAAGACAATACATGCTTGCATGACTATCCCAGGAACGAAAAGGCACATCCTATTCTACTGAAAGTGATTGTGTGGCTGTATACTTGATTTTATGCATCGGTAAGTAATGGGTGTATCTGAAATTGTAAAACCCGTTAATTAGGAGGTGTTTAAATAATTTTGGCCTAGTAGTGTACCTATTATGTAATTAGGGCTGGACGATATGGCCAAAATTTATATCACGGTATATTTCTTAATTTCGGTCGATACGATATAATTCCGATATCGATATGAACACTATTTAAAAAAGCCTTGTAAAAACTGCCAAGAACGCCCACAACAGATGTCTGTGCATACAAAGTTATGAAAAATGAATTTGCCAACTCTATGACACCTCATATAAAATCATATAATACTTTAGAAGAAGAAAAACAGCACAAATAAATTAATGTTCACCTTTTATTTGTATTTAGCCTTCATACAAACAAGAAATGTGAAATCACTGCATACTGACTACTCCAAGCTTTTGAATGGTATAGTGTATAATGTTACAAAATATTTTTATTTCAGATAAATGCTGATCTTTGGATCTTTCTGTTCATCAAAGAATCCTGAAAAAAAATACTCAACTGTATATTGATAATCAGCAAATCAGCATATTAGAATGATTTCTGAAGGATCATGTGACACTGAAGACTGGAGTAATGATGCTGAAAATTCAGCTTTGCATCACAGGAATAAATTACATTTGAAAATATATTCAAATAGAAAATATTTCTAAATTTGACTGTTTTTGCTGTACTTTGGACCAAATAAATGCAGACTTGGTGAACAGAAGAGAATTCTTAAAACAAAAATAAAAAAAAATCTTACTGTTCAAAAACCTTTGACTGGTAATGTAGGGTGGCTGATTATTGTTATAGATTGAAACAAATGTGCTTCAGCCAGGATAAAGAATATGAAAAGTGCTCTGAGTTGCTGCAAAAAAAAGAGCAACAACAAAAACATGTTGCTGGAGATGGGCTTATTGAAAATTGAAAAACTGCTTGTCTGCCAGCAGGAGGCGCTGTGAGAGCGGGGGAATTAGCGGTAGCAAAAATCGAGCCGTTTAATCCGAGTATTCTGAAGAGGCACAATTGCTAATGAACAGATTTAATTTAGGCTTTAAATTCACATACACTGAAAAGATGCAAATATCCAAAACATCAAATATGGTAAACAGCACCTCAACCCTACTTCCTTGGCATTTAAAGGCACAATATGTAATTTTTGCCGCTAGAGGGTGCGTATTCAAAATAAATAAATAGACAAAGGCATAGTTTGATGATGCCGTGACTGAGTGAGGAATCGTGGGAGTTGTGGTCTTCATCCCCACAGCCGATGCAATCCGACGGGACTCGGGCAGAAATCATGTTCATGGATGAGCTAATGATTTGTTAACGTAGTAGAATGAAGCAGGGTGAGGCTGAAAGCCGTCGAAGCGAAACGAGGCTGCTGAACGAGCGTGACACACGGCTCGAAAGCAGCGGAGCTTTTATTATGCCACAGTCGACCGCTTCCGCTCCGTCCGGTTGTGCGTATGTGATTTTAAAAAATCAGTGCTGACTTATCATACTAGATACGTTTGAAAGTTCTGTTATAATGCTACTCTGTGCGGTCGTCACTTGTCTAATAAAACGCATAACATGTCTTTGGTGTTTCCATGTTTTCTACAAAACAAAACCGGAAATCGAGAGGTTATGACGTCATTGGCAGGCGACACAATGGACACGGTCCGTGTCACTAGTTAAAATTGCTTATTTCTCTGGATTTAAACATTCTTCGAAACATTTGGGATAATGTAAGTACACAAGTCAGCAAAATATATAACACTGTTCTAGTGGTTTTTGGATATTTTAATAAAAAAATCGTACATATTGTGCCTTTAAGAACCTCATTCTTGCGGAAGCTCAAATGTGCTTGAGCAATATGCAAAAACAAACCTCATTGGTTCTCATGCTTCAAGCCTAATTAAACCTGTTCAGCATATAAAAGGATTGTGTCTCTTCAGAAGACATGGATTCAAGCACTTGATTCACATGAATTATGCTCACTATGTCTTCATGAACTTTTGATGAACTTTGAACAGACTTTTACCTAAAACTCTTTCACATTTAATTTAAAAATATCTTCATTTATGTTTCAAAGATGAGCAAACTTCTTATGGATTTGGAAAGATGTGAGGGTGAGTGATGAAAATGTTAATTTTTGAGTTAACTAACCCTTTACCTGAAGAACTTCACCTGTAGGTTATCACAAAAATCCATCATCCTTAAGGCTAATTCACACCACACCTGCAGACGCAGAGCAACCGCGACAGCTAACTGAGTACAGTCACTTCTCAGACGTTCCAAGACCTGACAAATGCCAATTCAAGTTGTTCAAGTGGCGAAAACAAGCACCAGCCAACACCAACAGGGGTAACACACTGATCAGACAAAACTCGACGACCGTGTCTGTTGCAGTTTGTTGACGTGTGTTGGTGCAGTGTGAATTGGCCTTTAACCTCTGTAAAGTTGAAGTGTATAAAATATTTTCTCCTATTTTCTCCTCTTGTGCACTTTATGCATACCCTAGCCAATGTGCAAATATTGAAGTTTATTTTGGGCTTAAAGAGAAAGTGTAAACACTGTGGCTCTGTCATGCTATCAAAACAGAGCCATTCTGAGGCAGGACTATCTATCTATCGAGTCAATGGCAGACTGGGGGACTGTTGAGGAAATCTTTTTGAAAACAATCTTTGCTTTAAAAAAAACCCTGTCACTAGCATCACAGAAATTACACCTTTCACACCCTTTTAAGGTGGAACAGCTACAACAATAACACTCAAACTGCAACTCTTCTTGTTTCATTGACAATGTTCAGTTAACTATTAGTTAACTGTTGTTGACTGCTTTATACAATTACTAAAAATAGGACTTTAAAGCGGTCATATGATGCGATTTAAATTTTTCCTTTCTCTTTGGAGTGTTACAAGCTCTTGGTGCACAAAGAAGATCTGTAAAGTTGCAAAGACTAAAGGCTCAAATCCAAAGAGATATTCTTTATAAAAGTTAAGAGTCAGCCATGCCTACCTAAAACGGCTCGTTCTAACACGCCCCCACATGTCTACATCACTATGTGGGAAGATTTGCATAACGCCGCCCAAATGTTCACGCAAGGAAAGAAGGCATAACTTTTATTCTAGCTGTAGTATTGTTTCCACCGCCATGGTGTGAAGGCACTGTGTGATTCACTGTGAAAGCGAAACTACTTTGTTTGGCCTTCCAAAAGAGGACGATATCTGCTTCATCATGCCTGGAGCTGATCCGTGCTGGTTGCTGAGGAAATACTACAATTTTGAGCTGTGGATCGCCGGATCGGCTTTCACCGTGGACGAAGCGGAGTCCAGCC